CCAAAAAAAATTTAAAGTTAACAAGTGTAAAAAATATTGATCAGTTCCAATTTAAGGTTGCATGAAGCCATTCAAGTCCTGTCCCTTAATAAACCATATCATCATAATGTATACAAATATCTATATTCAGCATACAACCATTAGGCTATATCATCATGTCACCTATCTRTCACTGTTCTTTACCAGTTATTTCCTTTCTGGGTCATAGTGGTCACTGATGTCTGTCTCCAGCAGTCACTGTGAGAGAGTCGGGTAAACTACGGACAGGTTGCAAATGGTTCATCCATTCTTTATGTTTTTATTTAGCCTGAGACTAAAACTCTAACAACTACATGGTGAATAAAATGCCACTCTAAGACAAATCAATAAACCCAAGATACAAAAAATCCAATCCAAGGATATGTGTGCACAGTTACCACAGAAAAATATGATTTTGTAGTTTTGCTGYAAGTCTGCACTCAAAGAGAAAACCAAGCAGCACACCTTATCAGAACGTGACAGCTGGTTGAGTCTGTCAGTGAAGAGGGAACCTCCCATCCCACATGCTGATGGTAATTAGACTCATGATATGTGAACTGAGCTCAGCAGTCAAAGAGTTCTGCTGTCTCAACCACTGCAGCTGTACATGTAATGTTCAATACACTGAGCTGTATAGGCACAGATGCKGTCATGAAATCATTCCTAAATTATTTATAATGTTCTGCATTATTTCCACATTAATAGCAATTGTTCAGTGAACCGATTTTAAGGAAACTTCATTTCCTGTTCTTGYAATTCATTATGACTAAGGCARCTTTTTAAAAAACTCTTCATAGCAGGTGTAAGGACCTGATACTTTAAGACAAAGGGTCTGAAGATCCACAAACTCAACCTCCCTGATAGGAGGCCATGAGGGTTACCTTTCTCACTGCAGAAGATGTGTCTTGAGAATATCACCTGAGTGATATCTTCTTCTTCTCACCATAACATTAAAGTTCTCAAATGATGGTGTCATTTAATGTAAACACATGCTAGAAAATCTTACGATTAACACAGTCTGGTTTGTCACATTTAATTCAAAAAAATTAAGACTGCAGCACACACAAAAAAAGGGCTAGAATTTTCCAATTTGTTGATGTCACTGTGGCCATATTCATCTTATTGGTACAGTTTATGGCTGTATGGTGAAAGTGAACTCCAAATCATTTGTAATACTTAAAGGATCTGGCTCTCATTTTAATAATAGGTGCATGCTTGAATCTAAGAAGGGCTAAAAAGTTAGCAAGGATTGCCAATGAATCAGGAGTCCCCCTGATTCGATGAAAGGGCTCTATTGTGCTGGATGAAAAGAGTGTTACTCTTAAATCATAGACGTGTCCAGGGCAGTGGTGAGGGCCGTGGATGTTTTCTGGTATATTTCCTGGAATGACAAAGTACAAATAAGCCAGTATTTCAAGCAAGGGAGGCACTTTCCGCCCCTGGGGCACATATATTCAGGGCTGCCTTCATTTATGTAGTAAAGATATGAGGAGACATGGACAAGCAAGGACGGCATACTGATGTGGTTTTACATCAAAATGGAGTGAAGATATTTCTCTTTTCAGATAATAAGACATATGAATGTGGACATCTGTGGTCAAACCAACCAACTGATTCTGAAACTATACTGTACATAAAGATGATCAGAAATTTTCATTCCAAAAGTCAAAATTTAAAGTAAAAATAAAAATAAAAACATTCATGATGTAGCATCATTTTGCAAAAATTGTGGCCCAGCAATTCAGTTTTTAAACAGCAAACTTTCCTGGTCATTAACAAAAAAATAAAAGGATCAAAGAAAATTAGTTTCTGAGCAACCATATAAGCTCTTAGAAGGCTAGAGCTATGTGAGCCTGTGAGACAAAAAGGCTTGTTTTCTCAGGAGCAATAGCCTGATTCATAGCATACAATGCAGGTCATGCTCTCCAGCATTATAGCCCCGGGGCCCCTCCTATGGAGGTGAACTAACAGCTGTGGAGATATGTTGCAAGGCCTCCAKTCCTCCAAAATGCAGCTGATGGAAAAAAAAAACTTCAAAGGTTTTCCCTCTGGATGAGCAGCACACAAACATGAGTGATAAGTTCTGGGAGACCAAAATACTGCAKAATTTCAACCCCTTAAGAATTTGAAAAACCGGCATGCCAAGATATCTTCTTGTCACTCTCCAGTCTGACAAGAATTTGGATATCATGCTATACTTAGTAGTTAGTTCGAGACAATGGGCTTGTTTTAAATGCAATCATTAAAGTGTGTGTGTAATAATGCTGAGGTTGTGTACCAAAAATTAGAAAAGTTCAAACTTATTTTCAGACTCATCTAAATAAAAATGCTGATCTTATATACAAAACAGATTACTGTTTGGGTTCTTTACCCCTTTTGGAACAGCTGTACCATGTGCTCTCACTTAACAATAATATTAAACTTTATTTATATTGTAAAGTTTGGCTTTGAACAGAACCAGGTCAGAGGTGGCACACAACTCATAGGAAAGACTATTCCACTCTTTTGGGCCACTGACAGAAAAAGACCGGTCCCCYCCATTTCTTGCACTTAGAGCGAAGAACCTCGATGGAAAGACAAATTATGGGGTGCGATAATAGGTCCTAATGGCAGCATGTAAAGTGAGAAGAGAACAGGCACCAGAATGGATCCTTGTGGTATGACAAAGATCAGATGAATTGAAGAAGAGGGCAAATCACCTAAAAAAAAGCTCTAGAAAAAGACCTAGAAAAGTTCTGTTAACTTAGTTGCTTGTTTTTCATGGTTTATTTGACTCCTATAGAACAATAATTTACCAAATGCATCTTATTCTATTGAAAATTAAACTAATTAATATTATTATGACACACACAAACACAAAGGTACCTATATTTTAGCAGTGCTAAACCAGAACAATAGGAAGAAATTTGGCTTGCCCAATTTTGTGAAAGTTGTAGTAAAATGACATGCAAATTACTTTGCATGCAGCATATACATATTTCTATCAGCTGAGTAGAGATACAACTTTCCCCTTGAAAGTGTATAAATGACATAGCAATTTGTCTGTCAACATCATTAAATAAATAGCTTTTCCAACAGCCTGCGACAAAAGTTGCAAACGATGATGAAAATGAAAAACATCAACATCACACTGTGAGATGTTTAGCCTACTTCATATAAGGCCTCTGGTGGTCAGGAAAAAGAGCTGGAATTTGAGTAAAGCTATATGTTTGAGTTGTGCTTTAAATTGTATGAAACCAGCTTCAGTGTTCATATAATTCACATTGTTTTGCATGATTATCTGACAAATTTGGATCATCCATTCAAATTAATAAATAACTTCAAAAGGAACACCGTGTCTTAGACACGATGCGTAGTGTTTCTAACTGTTCTAGGCACAAAAAGAGGAAGCCAAAAGTATGGCAAGACATTTTATCATTTAATAGCATGAAAACTATCTCTGAGGAAACTCAGCAGCGTAGCAAAAAACAGAATGAAATGAAATAAAATAGAAAGTTGTTTAAATTATAT